GTTATAGGAAAAGAAGAAAAGAAAAGGTGGAAGAAGAATAAGTCACTATATACAGCATTTAGCAATCTTTGTGTTGATTAAACCCTAACAAATAAGAAAATAATAAAAAGAAATTAGTATATAAACACACAAAATGAACATTTTAGTTTAAAAATGTCTATTTTATAATTATAACCTCACAAAATTAAGAATATAGAGGTTTTTTATAGCATGCTATAGAAAACTTGGCGATTAGGTGAGGCGCCTCCAAGGGCGCCTTGCCACTTAGGCATCGCCTTGACAACTATGCCCTTTCTGATATTTAGTTATAAACAAGGTTCAAAGTATCGGCCCGTATCGGCCGATACGTATCCTTCCGGGACCCCTCGGATACACCCCTACAATGGGTGTATCGGGGGTCTGACCAGTTCAGGGGGTGGAGGAGCTCTAAACTGGCCCCCCTGAACCGGTTTTGAAAAAAAAAAAGCCAAAAAAAAAGGTATCGATTCACCCGATATGCCCCTACCGGCGTATCAGGCATATCGATATTTTGAACCTTGGTTATAAATATTATTTTATGATGGTTTGTTTAATATTAAGGTAATAATTTACAATTTAAAAGATTTTGGAGGACTGAGGAATATGTAGAGATATATCCCAGTTATATTTTGTGCCAATACCTGGAAATGTTGGCAAATATTTAGAAAAAAAATAATCTTATAAAAATTATTTAGAAAATTTACTAGAGCTCTAAAAAAAAATAAAATAAACCAAAAAAAAACAAGAAAAAGCAGAAGAAAATAAGAGTTGAATAATGGCTCAAGGGATTGAGTAGGAAGTGCTGGTGGTTATTGATTATGATTTTGACCAATTTGTCTATCTTTTCAATTTGGAAAGATTACGATTTGAAAGTTGTGGATGGAACTTTGCCAATGATTCATGTCTCTTGCAAGGGCATGAATGTTCCTGTATACCTTTAAGAAGGCTTCCAGTATGGGGATTAAGGTTTTGAAAACATCATTGATCCAGGCAATCAAACTGTTTTGACCCAGGAACCAGTCACACTACCGGTTCTGTTTATCACCAGTCTTTTTTCAAAAAAAAAATGTTGATTTGGTTAAAAAACCGCTAACCCGATGGTCGAACAATTGAACCATTTGGCCCGGGGCAGCAGTTTGTGGGTTGACTTATTAACTTTAATAATTTTTTATTTATTTGAAAAACTGGAATTATTGTCATATCTCATCAAATCATTTATATATAATTTTGTTTTGTTCAAAATTATAAATGATGACAATATTGTCATATCTCATCAAATCATTTATATATAATTTTGTTTTGTTCAAAATTATAAATGATGACAATATTGTCATATCTCAACAAACCTCTATTATTTTGTAATATTTTTTGTTTTGATATTTCAAAATTAAGCTGTTACACCTCTCTCTCTCTCTCAATCCTAACCCTTTTGTTTTCAAACATTTTATATTTCATTTATTTATTTATGATGCAATGGGTCGATCCATTTGATCTGATGGTTGAACCACTGACCTGGAAACCGGAGGCAAAAACGGTTCGATTTTCAGGTTGGATTTTAAAACATTGATGGGGATAAAGAGAAATCTCTGCTTTTGATTTTCTTTTATCTGATAGTGATGAGCTGCTCGGATATAGCACATGCTTTTGTGGTAACTTTTTCATGTAACATTTTCTGATCATCATAAACTGTTTGCTTAAATTGTTTTCCCATTGGAGAACTTTGTTTGCTTGAATTTGATAACTGAATGTGTCTTAACCATTTTGGCTTTTTGGTACCTCTTTACAGGGTTTTACATACCCAGTACGGACTCATTTTCTAGAGAATGTTCTAGAAACGACTGGGTACAGATTAACTCAGTACAACCAAATTGATGATTACGGTCAAGAAAAGGCATGGAAAATGCAGAAACAGGCTCTCAGAAAGAGGAAGAGCCCAATTGCTTCTGTTGTTGAGGTATACAGATTGAAGCCTCCTACCAATTTCTTTGTTGTATTTTCTTTGCACTTTTTCTTTCTTCCTGTTCCTTCTGTTGATTAATTTTAAACTTGGAACAGGATGCCCTTGAAGCTGCTGATTTTAGGGAATATAGCTTACGGACTCGGGAATCTTTGCGCTGTTGGAATCCTGATTCTCTAGGTTTTAACCTCATAGAAAATGTTCTTTGCCATATATGTACAAAAGAAAGGCCTGGTGCTGTTTTGGTATTTATGACTGGTTGGGATGACATAAATGCTCTGAGAGAACAACTCCAAGCTCATCCTCTTTTGGGAGACCCGAGCAGAGTTCTGGTGCTTGCATGCCATGGTTCAATGGCCAGCTCAGAGCAGGTAACTTAATATTGTTATTTGATTTTGACTTAATATTCTAATATCAACTTAATACCATATTTTTTTGTATTGTTTAAGTAGGTTTTAAAGGAAACACCAAACCATCTATTCTATGAGAAGTTCCAAAAGGCACATACTAATCATGATTCCTCTTTGGAGGGCATCGTAACTAAGTTCAACTGAGAAAAGCCTTAGCCCTACTATATGGTATCAGCTACTTGGAGGGGATATTTTCTACCCATTACTTTTGCTTTGGCATCTACCGAGGCAATATAGTCTCTAATCTATGCACTATTTAGCTGTGCATTATATTTTATCTTATGTATGTGCATGACAAGTATTGAGTGGTTTTTGCTAGAGGCATCAACTGGTTGGGTCCTTGTCAAGGCTGTGCTGTGCTATGGCTCCTGGACCCTATTATTATATACAGTGGACTGGGTCTAGAGCTAATACCAATTTGTTCTGGACCACAACCTGCTCTGACATTTACCATATATTGGGAATCCCAATACATAACATTGTTCTTAAATTGTTCAAATTTTACTGTACAATCCTAAGTTTGTAGTTGGCATATGGTTTTATAGGTGAAGTAATAAAATAAGGTGCATATTTGCCAATATRCATGGTTTTGTTGTATAAARCAAAAWCAAACCTGGTAACTGTTTTCGAAACCCTCAGTGAATTCTAAGAAGATGAAGAGTACCAATATTGGGCATCTAATTCACATTACCAAAGTCTTCTCCAGGTTGAAAGACAGGCTCATAAGTGCAGGCCCCAGTAACAAATTCAAGAGAGTGGACAGAAGGAAAAAATTGAAAGRCAAARCTTGCTTGCTTAGAGACACTATTGCTGAGAATCTGTCGGACTTTTTTTCCAGTTTGTGGTGACAAGGGA